GAAATCTAATGTATAGATGGCCTGGTTACCTTTATTCTCTCGGGACATGGTATTGCTGATTTGTATTTTACTAATTCATTACGTAGATGATAGAAAAATGTTCTACTAGTTTCGTAGAGAGTTTAATTTATTTTAAATTACATCAATGAGTTTTTGAGCAGAAAATTTAAATCTCAGGTAATGATTGATAAAGATTTAAGCCATACACCATGACTGTTACAGATATGTTTAAATATGCAACAAATACTGTGTTATTGAAATGTTTAGCTTATGAAGCACATGTTAGATTTCCATTTGATTTTTGTTTTTCAATTATTACAATTTATCAGTAAAAAAATGTCTTCGACTAATGTTTAGCTTGTGAAATTGGAAAATTAGACTGTTGACAAATGATGGTTATCACTACAAATTTCTCGTTTTTGAACTACATCAGTCAGTATTACGATATATTAAAACCACACTTCATTTAATCATACGCGAACAAACATGTTGGCAAAAGATTAAGCTTTATGACATGCTTATTTCAGTTAGGAAATTGCCACCGATTGTTCTAGATGACATGATGGTTACCCGAGTAACAGTTATTCAAAAAAATAATGTAGCGAAGTAACACATCAAAATAAATGAATTGTAATAAATTGATCGACTACATAATAAAAATGTCTACTTTTCTAGCGGTATTATAAACTTTTATATCGCATACTAAAAACAGATTTTAATATCATTAAATCTTGAGTTTTTTCTAACTCTACTTATAACTTTGAATGACATTGTTATCGGTATATGATGAGAATCGACTAGATATTCAACCATAAATCTGTCTCGACTGATTTACATTCGTTATTAGTTCGAATATACGTTTGTAAAAGTTATGTTTTGTGTTGCCATTATTACACGCTATACAAGAGCGAGTAAATTAGTAGATTCACATTGAGTTGGTGTAAAACGGCAATTCACATATTACTTGATAAGCTATTCGTTAGTAACTACAATTTGCAGGTCAAATTGATGGAGGGTTTTCTTAGTCACACTGTTGTTTATTTGCTCGATGATGCAAAGGATTTTTTTCTTATTTAAAACTGACAGCAATCGTGTAATAATAACAGAGTGTAACCAATTTCCGTGATATTGTGTCAGTTTTTTGATAGAGAATATGATAATAGCTTTCCGAAAAGCTTCATAAAAAAATTGTGAATACTCTAGAACATTCAACAAGATCACCTGTCATAGCCATATCAACTTAAATCATCTTTTACTGAAATATTTTATAAAGAAACGAAGTTAGCATTATTGGAATTTAAACTCAGCATAAAACACCCGAAGACGAACACTGGCACTATTGTGAAGAAATGTTGTTATGATATCTCTCTGAAGTTCATTTAGAGTATAAAGCAGAGAGAGTTAGACATCTCCTTGCCCAAAATATCTTATAAATTTGTGTTTAACTATCCTAACATTGTTACTTGGTTCAGAAATTCACAGTACCGAAAATTTTGCTGCAGTTCAAATAAAAAATCATTTCGAAAACCTTGTCAACACAAGTATCTGATATAATCACAGTCAATAATAAAAACTTTGATCAGCTAAAATTGACCGTCGGTAATCGCTATAATAATACATTTAAGAATATATCCTTAGGGATGACTTCTATTGAAAGGAGGCTAATCGCGATCAAATGACATTTTAAGAAATAAGGATTGAGTGGTGTTATTTCAATGAAAGATATTCAGATCGTTCTCACATATTGAAAAAATTAAATAGATAGGATATTGTTGGCAAGAAAAGATATAATTATTATCTCTAAAGAAACTAGTAAACAAAATACAATAGATCACAATGAACGGATAGTGGTGAAAAGAAAGATTATTTAACTATCAGAGGTGGATTATTTGAATACTTGAGGTTTTCAGATTCTATTATCCCCTGATAGCTTGGACTGCCGAAAGTACATAAAAAGATGTTTCACTTTACCTTACAAAAGATATGAATCACTCTCCATATAATACAGTCAAGAGGTGGTCAGAAAAATTATTATGAGACAAAACACCCTTGATTTCTGTGCATTTTCTGATTTCACAGCCAACAATAGTCCATATGAAAAACGAGTTATAGTTTTGGATGCCGCCTTGTTATTTACGAATATGTTACTCGTAGAAGCAATTTGCTTTCTATGTAAATATAATGGAAATAGCATAATAGACATCGGTATTCCGAAATACTACCTAAATGAACAATTGCTACAGTATACAACTTGAATTTAAAGATGAATTCTATAGACAAACCGATAGTATTCCAATTAGACTTTTACTGGAACATTTTCAAGAGATTATTTTATGACTAATCTTAGGGACGTTGTTAATCCATCTAAAGTTTATGATTTTTATTGCGAAAAAAAGGATCTGAGGGATAGTTTCATTAGATATTAGATACTTACGCCTGTTACCCGTAATGAAGCTAATGAAACTATCTTTCCTGGTTAGCGTTTTTGTAGCGAGTTGAGTTTCTGCGGGATGGGGTCACCACTCTTATATCCAACCCTCCTCCTTTATCCGGGCTTGGGACCGGCAGTAACCACAGGAAGGCCCTAGGGAAGTTCGTAGAAATAGTGGTCTTAATTAAATACTGTAAGAGTTAATAATATACAACCTGTTGATTACATTTGTATTAGAGTCAGAAATGTGTGCCTAATTTCGGTTCCTCGATGTTTAGATAAGGGGAAGATCCAGACAATCTTTACGACAATTAATGTATGGGAAACAAACCTGGAATGAATAATACATTAACTTCCAAAATAGCATTCCATATAGAATTCGAATAAGTTTTCTATCCTCGAGAACTAGAAGAATCTGCTGAAGACACAACTGAAGAAGAATTCAAAAATCCCCACATCTACTAATAAAAAATATAACTCTCCCCGTTCTATTGATGGAAACCTGAAACAAAAACTCAAAATTGTAGGGACTTTCACAACATCGAGGAAAACCATGTGCATTATAGAGAAAAATCGATCTGTTGAAATTATAATAACTGTCTATGAGGTAGCATCACAATGTCACAATGGGACTGATTGAAATCAACAATAGTAGTTCATTTTTCCACTACTTAAATTATTCATACTCTTGTTGTGGTTCATATTTATTATTGATTTAAGCTACTATCGTTATATATAATATCTTTGATAGTTTATACATTATCCATAGATGAATAACTCCTTTTTAATAAAAACTAGAAATTAAATCTTTAAATACGATTGACTTTTAATGTTTTTTGTTAAGTTATAATGATTTTGACAGTAATGTAATTGATTTAGCCAAGGTAATAACCTATCGTTATCTAATATCTTTGATAGTTTATACATTATCCATAGATGAATAACTCCTTTTTAATAAAAACTAGAAATTAAATCTTTAAATACGATTGACTTTTAATGTTTTTTGTTAAGTTATAATGATTTTGAAAAGTCTAAAAATAAAATTGAAATCATTTTCGTAATACCTTTAATTTATGTTAATCAAATTCTTGTCTGTTTGTTTGAATTAATGAGACATTCAATCACAATACCTACTTATCTTTCGCTATACAATAAAAGATCTATCAGTCCTCTGATCAACTAGTTCAAAGAAGAATTAACTTTTATTGATTATTTGAAACTGATGAAACCAGGTAAAATCTACAGTTGTAGTTTTGTTGCAACAGATGTCAAAACGTTTATATAAATATATATATATATATATATATATATATATATATAGCAGATATATCTTAACTCTTTCCATTTCTGATTATATTTGTATATATTAAACAACAGAATTTCAGTGATCTGAAAATTATTCTTTGCCTTATATCAACCTTGATTTCATCAACAACAAACTATCGAAAGTGCAATTTAATATTAAGAAAATTATGGTCAGGAGCCTAAGAAACATGAAAATAATTTTTATGAAATAGGGAAAATCAACTACACTACTACAACTAAATGACAGTTTTCATTTTACATAGTAGTAAAGTAAAAAAGTAATAACAAAAATGACAAAAATATTTTCAACAAAATCTTTAGAAAACCAAGGTGGAAGGGGCTACAAACGAAAATGTACAAAAAAACGAAACCAGAATTTAAAAAAAAAAAATTTATTTCAGATTGACATAATTCACGCAAATTCCCCATTAATTATATTATCTCAACAATTGAAAAATAAAACAGAAATAAAACATCAATGAAAAAAAAGAAAAACTATACATAATTTAGTAAATATATATAAGTTTGTAAAAAATATTGAATTAAAGTATTGCTATAAACTTCAATACTTCTTTAGTTACATATATATACATATATATGTATATCGGAGCAATGTTCCGTTTTACAATGAAATTTTAGATTTAATCTATTTTTATTGTAAGCGTTTGAGCAATCAAAACATAAATAACAGTTTTCTGTACATTCATTGTCAAATTTCTTACACCGTATAGGCTTTTTTTTTCATTTGATAAAAAGTATTAGACGGATATAACATACTTCTAACTAACTAGTGATAATATTACAGTTGTTAGATTTGAATTTATGCTATCTTTAATTATATGTTACAAATATCTATTCAAATTAATCTGATTGGTTGATGTCGATTTAAATTATTCAAAGCCAAAAACACATACATAAATAAATATCATTAAAACAAAATGATTTCTATTTTCTTCAATCATAATATTATATTCAGAAAAGTAACTTTACATTTAGAAAAAGTGATAACAGTTGTTTTATCTTCACTTACTTCAAAGACAGAATCAAAATCAAACAATATTATTTGAACGCTGTTCAGAAAATGCCTTCAATGAGTAATTGGTATGGGATTGAAAATTACTCATTCTTTTCGATTGACTGATGAAAACATAAAGGAAATAAGCATACAGTTAGGAGTAATATTATTATTATTATTATATTACACTTTTGAATTACTTTCATATTTTGACCATTGACCAATGAGTAATGGATTTAACAGGAATACTTAAATTCGTTCAGTATACTGTTGTACAAATTGTTTTATTATATGGTAAGTAGATAATATTTCTAACATTTTTGTATGGCTAGACGATTTGTCAATTGGAGAAAATTACATTGACTGTCTCATAGTAGAAAATTATAATTTTGAAAACATTAGTTATAGTTTGGTTTAAAATTATCCCGAGACTATATATTTTCAAATTTGATTCATTTTTTAAACATAAAAATCCGTTTTTATTATCAGTCGATGGAATATTATTTCTTGATTTTCAACTTATATGTCCATTTACTACACTTCAAAAATGACATAAATATTGTGTTTCATGTTTACTAAATACTTGATAGATAAATTTAAACCTTTGGTATTGGTTATGGTGTAGCTTGTGATTTTTGTAACCTATGGATGGAATAAAGTGTCACGGTCAACTAGTTGATACTATGTTGACCGGCGAATCTCTACATGTGTGAAGTAATAAACCTAATCACATAAAAAAAAACAAGTGTATTTAGGCATAAATATTGTTTCAACCTGAGGGTCTTCCAGTAAGAAGAAGAAGAAGAACCTTAGCATTTCAAAATGAATTTATCAAATATAGATTAATATCTATTATAAATTACACTCAGTGAAAAGAGTTAACTAATATTTAACTTTCAAAACAAGTACATCAGAAAATATCAGAAGATAAACTTCTATTCAGTTTATTGAATCTGAACCAAATAATATGAGTTTAATCAATGAGAAAATTCATCAAAGTAACTAGTAAAGAGAAAACCGAAATTTCACTTTTGTTCATGATTTCCTCTTAACAATGTTTAATCAACTTAAGATAGTTTAATTTATAGTAGTACAAAATACTTGATTTTATTTAAAAACCGTAATTTTTTTTTAAAGGTCTATGGTGAAAAGATTAAATTAATTTGCGAAGTTTATTTCCAACTTTCATTACATAAATGAAGATGAACAAACATTGCTCAAATTATTGTCACTTTTATTTGTTGCAAAGAACTGTTAGCTGATAGTAATGGTAGTTGTGTAACATTAAATAAATGCATTAAATACAGTTTCAACCAACCTGTATCCTGACTTAGAAGGATAGAAATCTTGACTATGAAAACAAGCTACTCATAAGTAGGTAAAATCTAAACCCAAGTATTTTGGATGATGTTTGGTAAACTTGCTCTGGAACAAAATAGATGAATGATATTTAACCAGGTCAGACAACCAGTTTCTTTGATAAATAATTATAGCCATCACATGGGATAGTTTGCTACGTTCATCAGTCCATTTGTCATAGAAGCATAAATAACCTTGAGAGGTTGGTATCTGATGACACCTAAACACGAATTTGGAAAGCTTAGTTGACTTTTACCATTTGGCATCGATGGTATGTTCATCTCTTAAATAAATGATGAGTTTACTGCCAAATGATTTTTTCTGATTTAATCTATATTCGTGGTTGCTTCTATTTATATACAGATACCTTAGAAAGATTGTTCGTGTATGCTGAGACCAGTGAATGAGCGATACTGAATTTAGACTCAGGGTGCAAAATATAGTATTTCAACTCTTTTTTTAAAATAACCAAAACTTTTTTAAGATTTTCACAGCGTTTTTTAATATGTTTATTAAAAAATAAAAAGAATACTATGTTTTTGATTAAAGTCTTCTTTAACAATCGCTTTTGAACAATTGCGACGTAGCCTCGATTAACCGTATAAATATTTTGTGGTTAACTGATTTACAGAATTTAATGATTCATTAAATCCACTTGCCAGTGATCTTCTTGCAATGGATTTAATTTTTGAAAATGCAAATTGAATTGGATTAAGCATATAAGGGGACAAAAACATAACCTTTACTCCTTTTTCATCAAAAAAACTTTTGGTAATATTGGAGTGATGGATCCTTGCATTATCAAGGATAAAAAAGCAATTCTTAAAAATTGATTTTTGATTTCATTTTTTCATCAACTGATCAAAAATGTGAATGAACTTATCGGGGTTCACTGAACCAAAAAATGTTTGAGTAAAAAGAACTTCATTTTCTCTTACTGCGAATATCAAATTTACATTAGTTCAACGTGTTACGGAACCATGGCACTTGCTGGTTTTCCTCTTGTAGATCTTCCCAAACTTCTTCTGAAATACAAATTAAAGGATGATCCCTCAATAAAGACTTTAATGAAGGAGTCTTCGATATTCATATATATATATATATATCTGTCGTTTAATTTTACTTGATTCTGAGTTGATAATAATCGATCTATAAGGACATTTTAAGGATTATAAAAAATTCTAAAAAACACTCTGAAAATTTTAAAAAAAAACTAGTTGAAATACTATATATTTAGTAAATCGGTTGATGAAGTTGTGGATCTTCACCAACTGATAGGGTTATTTGTTTCAGGTGTTAAAACAACACTTTCTTTCGTGAGTAATGAATGGTGATGTTAAAAAAGCATCGAGGAAGCTCTAGGCGGCCAAATCAATACGCGTCATCAGCTCATGCGGTTCCTGACTTTGGGAATGCGCTGTTTTGATAGCTATAACCTATGTGTTCAGGGTCTGCCTGAACATTGTAACTAACCATTGGGAGTAACTTATGATTGATTTGAGGACAGATCAAGTTTCTGCAAGTCAATTCACCCCCTATCTTTTTCCAGATCTTGTCTTAATGGACAAATATCAATTCATCAGTTACTGTATAAATTCATTTAGCTTAGTTTGTAACAATTACTTTTTATATTTTTACATTATATATTTTAGTTCAACGTTCATCTTATATATCTATATTGATCCTTCTATTTCTTATCTTTCCTTTTAGTTCTAATATGCACACATTATAACTGTTTCATTGAATTAAGTATACTATTGGCACTTAACCGACGAAAACTTGGAAACATAACCATGATCCACTACTGCTTTATTTAACTAGTCATGAGTTTTACATTATTCGTGTTAATTCGTAATCATGTAAGTACTTAGATAAGAAATATAGGAAAATGGATCATACTCTCATATATTCAATGATAAAATGCATCATATAATTTAAATGATAAACGATCTTTATTATGAATATGTAGAACCTCTGAATATCAGAAGGAAACATAATTCTAAACCGAAAACCGAAATATAATTTACAGGTAGTGTTAATGTTTCCTCATTTATTGATTCGTATTGTTTAGTTAACATTCGAATATGATACAGTGAACTTATTTAATCCGGTTAACAATACGGTTTGATTATTATTTATTATTATTTTTACGTTTTCCACTCTGTATAGTAACATTAATTGAAATGACACGAACTGTATATGAAACAAATATGAATATTTCAGTTAGAAATGGTTCTATGGCTGAATTATCATGCCCAATAGATATTGCTCTAACAAGAAAGGTAGGTTTTTATTACCGAGTTGTTTGAAAAAGTAATCTTTATATTTTTGTAATTCAAACTAATATCTTTTTTTTATCATCGATTCACAACCTCCACGACATAAACTATCAACAATGACTATTGTACTTATGCTACTATTTTTTTTTCTGGTTACTTTTATCGTTTGAATTAGTTAGATTTACGACATACAATTCTATGCGTCTCATGTTAAATATCGATATGATGCGAAGTAAAAATTACGAATATTAAACAGTTTTTATTAATGCAACAGAAAATCATAAATCGTTTTGACTGAAAGTATATCTTGTCGCTTAATGAAAGGATTGAAGTGAATTCAATCTTTTCTCACGTTTCAGTCTATACATAAAAGACTATTACGAATTCAGAATTCTTTAAAGGCTGGATTTACACCTGTTTTTCATGATCTAACTTCAGAAAAACTCTAAGAGAAATACAAATACAATCATAATGTCATTTCTGTAAGAATGAATTTCCTTCATACAATGATTGGATTATACTAAGGTTTAAAGCCTTAATATAACTTCAGAAATCAGTATAGCAAGTTCTAATGATGTAATTTCCTGAATCCCATGCAATGCTACTTGTTTACTAGAAATTCCATTTATACTACAAACGATATTAGATGTTCTGATAACCATTTTTTTACTTGAATTAGTTTATGACGGAAGTTGAGATAAGTTACAAACTATATTATTAGTTTTAATGCAGAAGTATGCTTTTCACTCGTAGTTTAAATGCACTAAAGTTATTCAAAAATCAGAATCTCTGTACTTAAAACCTGAGTAAATTTCTAAAAAAAGATCTATTGGGTTTTTATTCCACTAGGCAAAATAATCATACTTTTTAATGAATAATTATGAAGATAAAGTTAATTGTTAGACATACAGTGTTTGAAAAATAATAAATTACCTTGCATTTAAAAAGATTGATAATAACAATCCCATTTATGTAAACGAAATCACTAAGAGTAAATTCTTCCATCCAAGTCCTTCAATTCCAATATCTTATAAACTAAACCGACTAGCTATTTGAAAAGAGGAAACCAAAACTTAATGGAAATCTCTACTGCTAGAAGTTGAATAATGGAGTTTAAACCTCAATGATATATACAGGCTCTCAGATTGACAAGAACTTACATATTCTGATTCCTCTACTCTGCCCCAACTAGTGTAACAGGCTTTCCGCATAAACTTGAAACTGTGTGTGATGTATCTGATTACCCTAAGTGTACAGTCAGTTAGTTACTTAAATGTTCGAAAAATCTATTCACAATACATCTATGCCAATTTCAACATGAAAATAAATTAAATTGAACGATAGCCATTAAGTAAAAGCTAGTTGTGATGCAAAATAATACATAGTTTATCGATTTTCATGTTCTGAACTAAATAAACCTACACAATTGAAAAGGTCAATTTATCATTCACCTTAGAAAAATATTAAAATTTGAATCGTTATTAACAGACGAACAAGTTTTAAAACCTGTAAACTTATTTAATTTATACATTGTAATGATTAACTTCATGCTTACTCCATCACCAACATCGAGACTGAGTGAGAGAAAGACAGAGAGCAATATACTCAGGAAAACATTTTACGTTATTGTTCTCTACACAAAACAAATGCACACAAAATAGGCGTTTGCGCACAATACCGAAGGTCCCAGGTTCTAATCCTGCGAGGTGCAGGAGTCGTGGATGCACACTGCTGATGAGACCTATACCAGGACGAAACGGCCGTCCAGTGCTTCCAGGTTTCTAATGGTGGTCTAACTATGGTTGATTGATGATTTCAAATGTGTAAAAACACAAATCTCCAAAACTCTAACTGAAAATACAAAATATAAATAAGGGGTATTAAGATACTAGACAATCAACTTTCAATTATTTTTAAAAATAGGAATTCATCTTTTAAAACTTTTTTCCTACCAAATGGTCAGAAATCGCACTCTCCTTCAGGCTTTGCAAATGACTTTGAAAACCTGGAAATTTACTGAATAAAACAGATACATGTTTTAAATTCATTTCTTCTATATTCAATCGGAGTTTTTTTTAGGTTAATGCTCTGATGAACATGATCGTGTCAGCAATCATTAGGCTACAAACTGAAATGCAAGGAAGTAGAGCATATAATTAGAGAAGAAATATTGTTATGTTTAATTAATCTTTGATGGAGACCAATTGACAGATAATTGTAATATAACTCTCAGTAACACAATAGCTATCTACTTTGAATCTATCCCTGATAATAGATATCATTGAGAATCTATGATTCACTTGTTATCCACTAATACTAGCCAAAAAAGAGCCTGAAGCCATACAAGTTAACTTCAATGTATTCAAAAGAACAAATAGGTTATCTGAAATAACTAGGTCTATTAGCAAACATATATTGCATAACGGGGTTGTTGTGAATGTTAATGTCTAACTTGATCAAATTCACGGAGTTGCGCAACCTCATACAGTGTATACGTCCGAACAGGTTTGAACTTCACTGGTCACGACTTCCGACTAGAACTCGGAGAAGATTCCTCACCAAGCTAGTCACTAGTGAGCACATATAACTGCATTGCGGGGTTGTTGTGAAGATCATTAAATTACATTATTGAAACCATGAATCGATTAATCGATCCTGCGGGGTGCAGGAGTCGTGGATGCGCACTGCTGATGAGTCCCATACCAGGACGAAACGGCCATCCAGTGCTTCCAGGTTTCTAATGGTGGTCTAACATTGATCGATTCATGGTTTCAATAATATACTGCATAACGTAATGCGATGGAATTGAACCATATTCTTCGAAAGAAACATTTCACATTATTGATGTCTTTAAAGCATTTTTGTTATATTCAAACGAAGACTGAAGGAACGGTAACTTCCAGAACCAATTTATGGATGATAATTATTATTGTAACTATTATTATTATGCATATATTATGCATATATGCATATATTAAAAAATCAGGCTACTATATATATTGTATCATATTGATCGTAAGCTTTCGGTTGCCAGTCTATTATTTACAGCCCTCCTTACTCACAACTACTTTTGGCTCGTTTGTTAATAATTGTTAGTTTTCATTTTATGGTGTTGTTTGGTACATCTTGTTGAGAACAATATCTGTTGGAAATATATATATATCTTCCACTGATTTTTGTTACAGGAATTGGAAACACTAACATGGATCAGAGCACCAAGACAGCTGCTTACAAAAGGCGTTTTCAGAGTAACAGAAAATCCTAGAATATTCTTAGCACCTATGGTGAGTGTGTGAATAAACCACAGTGTTATTTTTTTTTTCAAATACGAGACTACACTAGTAATAGATATTTTCAGTTACTAATGTAACCGATATATAGCATCATTCTGCACTCATAAATGTAAGCAGTTTTCCAATATTTTATAAGTTTTTCTGATAATGTTCATCACTAAAACTGATTTTGAACGCATTGATTGTATGTTTCTATGAATTTCAAAACCTAACAAGACGGTTGAAACAATACGATATGTGATATAGTCGCTACAACTAATCCACCGTTATATAATGGGGGCGAAAGGCCACCATGCTGAAACATCCCTATGATAGGTAGAAATATAAATATTGCATTCACCATGGATTGACATTAGCTAGAGTACCGCTGAAAACCAGTTGCGATAGGTACTAAACTACAAATTAACTTTAATACAGTCCAAAGCACATTACTACCAATCAGTTGTAGAATCTAGCTAGTCTTAAGTAAGAATTGTTAATATGATTAATAAATGATGACTAGGATTTTTTTTTAGAATCTTTGAAAATGTTTCTTTAAAATATAATTCATGTACATTGCATAAAAAGGAAAATATAGGACTAAAGATAAAATAAAAATTATTTCATTTTAAACTATCACAATTAGACTAAGTGTCTATTTAGATGTCATTATTCTTGAATGGCGAAAGGCAATTTTCTTCAGAAATTTCAGACAACCAGATCACATGACAAGTTTAGACAAACTAGTAACCTCAAGTTTCTCCGAATAAAATAAATACGTTCTATTTTATGGCTACTCATCAGATGTAAATGGCCTAAAATTAAGAAAAGTAATATAATTATAAACAAAGGCGTAGCATACTCTTCTAATTCATGAACATAGAACAAACAAAAATGAGGCATGAAATCCAAAACACCACATTCTGCATCTAATAGATAGGTGATGTAGCTGCTAGTTGTGAAGATATGAACCATTCTTCTTGCTTGCTGCTTTTATCCATTTTCTGTTCGAGAGAGGTGACATTTCAATAGAAACTGGTTAAAATACTCTAGTCGAAATGAAATTTTAGTTTCCATACAGTACAACTGCTTCCAACAAGTAATATCGAAAGTTCGTTAAACCATTCAAAGGTAGGCCAACACCATTTCAATGTCACCTCTAGTTTCATTTGAGTTGACGTGTACCCTAGAGGACAAGAAAATAGGAAAGAAAAGTGGAAATGGTTCTACTATGTTTTTAGGATACGTTTCAAGGAACCTTTTCACTCTGAAGGTAGACATAAAGTTGCTTGTGATCATGGATTGGCGAGCGACTAATATCGATCTTACTGCGCTTTGCAGCGCCAGCTACTATCAAATGCTTCTGACCTGACCTATGCATCTAAGTGCGAAGCTTAATCAAGTTTTTTCTATCGTGACAACCGTGTTTGCAATGGACAAACGTTTCCTCTTTTATTTAACCCCTTTATACTTTTTGACTAATCTTGTCGCTGCTCAAATATTAATTTGGCTTTTGTTCTAATGTAAATTTAAATATTTTGTAAACATTCATTACTACAAGTGTGATTACGTTATCCTTTTTTCTTTAAAGAATAGCATTACCACCATTGTTCTGAATTGGTACTTTTTAGACAATGAGATCCTCATCAATCTTGATTTTGTTTAATCAAATATTTTGTGCCCTAGTCTTTTTACCACGACTTTCGGTTCTGTTTTGAACATCCGTCTAAACTTCACCAAATAAAATATACTAAATGTTTTATTCCTTGTATTAAAAAAACCGTCAAAATAGAATGAGATCGGTTTGTTCTGAAAACCTTGATGTTCTTATTCCGTCTAAAAGTCAATTTATTCTTGACCAAAAATAAAACAGTTTTTAAACGTAATAAATACAGTTCTATGGAAGGCTGTTATTTAATCATCTAAGTTGTTTTATAATCATATAAACAAATTTACAACAAAATTATCATTTGCAGAGAATAAATAATCTGAGAAAAATTCTACTCAAGTTATTTCTTAAATTTTTCTTGAAAGGATCTTTTGAAAACCAAAGCTTCAAGTTTATTTTTACGACCAACACTACCAGACGATGAAGGAGAATATAGGTGTACACTTACACTAAAAGATAGAATTCATGTTCATACGGTATCTTTGAATATTTCAGGTAAGTTTATAAAACATAATTTTACAAGATATTGCCATATAATTAGATTATTGAAAATAGTTTTCGGTTATTTTTAGCTAATTGGTTGATCAGAACAACCAATAATCTTTCTTCTATCATTATTTTCATTCTACTTGATTTGAAATGAATTAAGATGAAAGATATTATTAAGCAAATTATATCTTAAATCGTAATCATCTATGTATTTATCCTTTACATTACAACCAGATACTGATGAATTAACTAAAATCCAAACACATTCAAAACTTATATCATATGATAACATGTAACGCCAGTCACTCTGAAGTTAACAGTATGAATCTAACTATAAATCAATTTATTACTTAATTCCAATTATTCCTAACATGAATATGAATCAGTCAAGCAATTTAGATTTTGTTAACAGGGATATGTGTACTTATTAGATCTTGTGTAGAAAATCAATATCACTGTAGAATGATCAAATGTCAAACGCTGTTTCATTCTCAAAGGCGTACACTGAAAAACATTTAAAGTGAGTTTGCTGAGTGATAAATAACCAACCTGTAGAAACTACAACTGGATCAAGACACTCGAAACTAAGTTATTAACTCATAAACGATATCTAAGTTTTTTTACCACTTTCACGAAAGTTAAAAACTTGAGGAGATGCTTCATCAGTTTTCATCAGTGACGTGAATCATACAGTTCAAACATATCGAGTTTTATTTATATGGTCAGCTTGATTTAGAAATGAATGTTTATCATAGGAGATAGATATGTCATGTTACACCGCTTGAAGTGTTTTATTTCGCAAATTGTTTAGACAGTACACTTTTCAGATACGCATAACAGTAATGCGAGATATTAATCAGGAACTATTCAGTCTTTGTTACTGGATATCCTGTTGATAAATGAATGGTGTATATAACGTCGTATTCAGTGCCCTAACGCATGGGTTTTAATAATTTACTACTAGGAAAAATTATACGGAAACAGAGAGAACGAAACAACGAAATTGATAATAATTAATAAAGGTCTGTTAGGTTTACCATGATTCAAGTGCAAGGCTATTTTATGATTTATTGTTCCAGTCAGATATTATTCAAATTAGTTAAATCTTCGAAAGGACGGCTTTCGTGTATAGTGTCTGCAAGTAAGGAGGCTTAATTAGTTGACTCAGTAATAAAACGACTAAACACTTCTAGTACTTATAATTTCACTTGTGGAATGACATATACTTACAGTTATAAGCACATCTGAGGCATTTTTTGAGAAGCAGTAGGTATCAACGTAGCTAATATAGGTTTACTTACTTACTTACTTACATACGCCTGTTAATCCACAAAGGAGCATAGGCCGCCGACAAGTTTTCTCCAACCTACTCTGTCCTGGGCTCCTCTTTCCAGTTCTGTCCAATTTTGGTTCATTCTTCTCATGTCTTTCTCTATTTATCGGCGCAGTGTGTTCCTTGGCCTTCCTCTTTTCCTTTGACCTTGGGTGTTCTGAGTGAGGGCTCGTTTTGTGACGCAGTTGGGTGCTTTCTGTAATGTGTCCTATCCATTTCCACCGCTTCTTCCTGACTTCCTCCTCCTCTAGAATCTCGTTTGTTCTCTCCCACAATATCTCCTGTTGCTGTCTGACCAACGATTCGAAGTACCTTGCGCAGACATCTTTTAATTAATACTTATATCTTCTGGATGATGGCTTTGTTAGTTTTCTAAGTTTTCACCCCATACGGTAAACTGTCTTAACATTTGTAATGAAAATTGTGACTTTGGAGTTTGTTGACAGTTGTTTTGAGTTTCAGATGTTGTTCAATTGAAGGAATGCAGCCTTTGCTTTACTGATCCGCACCCTCACTTCTGCATCGGATCCACCTTGATTGTCGATGATGCTGCCTGGATGGATATGTAAAGGTGTTAACATCATCTGAGGCGTGTCCATCAAGACTGATTTGGTTGGCGCATGTAGTGTTGTATCGCAGAATCTTGTTTATCCCTTTATGTATGTTGAACCTGCTGCTGCTGCTGAGGTTGCTGCTACTCTGTTCGTCTTCTCTTGCATTTGTTGTTGTGTGTGCGACAGAAGAGCCGGGTCATCTGCGAAGTTCAGATCGTCCATCTGCATCTTGGCTGTCCACTGTTCACAGTGCTTCCCTCTAGATGTTGACATCTTCATAATCCAGTTGATCACCAGGAGAAGGAGAAAGGGTGAGAATAAGCAATGTTGCATGACACCGGTTTCACCTCAAATGAGTTTGTCAGCTGTCCTCCGTGTACGACCTTGCAGTTTAATCCATCATAAGAATTTTGTATGATGTTAACTATGTTCTCAGGCACGTCGTAGTGTCGAAGAAGCCTCCATAGTGGTGTCGTGTCCTAGCTATCAAATGCTTTTTCGCAGTCAATGAATTTGACATGGAGTGGTGTGTTCTATTCAAATGATTGTTCCACAATGATCCGTAATGTTGCATTTTGGTCAGTACACGATAGATCCTTACGAAATACAGCCTATTGATCTCGAAGTTGGACGTCTACGAAGTCCTTAATCCTGATTTTAACAACACCCTGCTGAAGACTTTGTCTGGTATTGAGAGAAGAGTGATGCCTGTGTAGTTCTCACACTTGTTGAGATCGCCTTTCTTTCATATTTTGATGAGGTTTGTTTGTTTTTGTGTATTTAGCTTGTGCCTTGGCTGTTCCCGCTCTTGTTCAGCTAAGGTTGGCTGCTGCCTCCTTGTTCCTCCATGAATTTTATCAAGAGTATCAATAGAGATCCAACCCTTTGTTGTGGTACTTCTTGTGGTAGAGAACCTCCTGACATGTTAAAGTGACTGTCTCCTTGACCCACTTCCAATTGTTCTCCAAGGTTTTTACCTCTCCATTGTGTAGATCGTGGAAAGCCTGGAACATATTGCTGGGGGCCATTTTAAATTCGTTGAACTTTCCAGAATTCCAAAGAAATGCCATATTAATATTTTATGATGTTGTCTGCCCGGTTTTCCAGTGCTTCTTTAGTTTCATTTTCATTTTGTCGACCAGCAGGTGGTGATCTGAGTCTATGTCAGCTCCTCTCTTCCCGACCGAAGCTGCTACCTTGACTTGGTGGTCGGGCTTGCCCATCGTGATGACCCAACCGAGCTATATTGGCTGGAACATATGTTCCTGTTAAGTATTTTGAAGAATAAGATCATATGTAGTTATAAGTCTCATCTTCCACAACGGGTTGAGACCAAATTTATTACATTTGGATTTTTGATCTAACGTATAATCAGCTCCAAGAATGCAAAGTATAAATCGTCTTCGTATGAATTTCAGCCTTAATTTATCCTTCTAGCAGCATTAAGCTCCAACTTCCATTTTTAGCATCACTGGGTCACTTGATTCTGCTTCATTATGGTCAGTTTCGCATATTGCCCAGCTCATGAAATGAGAATGAATACTCTTTTCGAGGATCACTGACTTTCAGAAGCTATTGCAAATATCAGTTATATAAGCTGAAAAGAGTAGGGAATCTAAAATACTACCTTGTATTAAACCGATTTGATTGTTAATATCAGACTTATTTTCCGATTTGCAGCGTAGTTTAATGTATAAGGTTTTCTGCCAGTCAGGATAAATACCAGTCTGTAGAGAGACAGAGAGTAAATACCTTCAGAAGAAGTGCTGGTTTATCAGATCGACTAGAACTGAAAAGAATAGTTGAAATGCTATCTACTCTGTGACTGTTTTTGACCTTAAGGGAGTTAATAGTTTTACTCATTGCTGGATAATTGAAAGACAATCTATGGTGCTGGTCAAGAACTCATTATTGGTCGCAAAAGTACTACTTAAAAGGTTCGCAGTAGTTTTAGAGTCATTTATAAATGTGTCGTTTAACAAGATACACGGTATATCTACATTTCAAGTTTCTCCAACATGTTTAATGTAAAGGAGTATTAGGTTCTTTACTTTTGAGCTGTTTTTCAGTGCTCCTAGCTTCCCACTAATTTCTTTTAAATTATACTTTTCCCTAATTTGGTTAAAAATTATGGTAATTTGCGCAGCTGCTGTAAACTTTTTTGACTAAAAGTAACGTTTCCAAAGGCATTTTAATTTATTACTATATCTACTTGGTATGAATAATCCGTTAGGCCTACTAGCTTGATATGTGTTAAAAGAGGTGCACGAAAACCTTAATATGAGTTAATGATCTGAAATAATATGTCACTGGCAACCACGAGATTGTTACTCGAGAAGAAAGTATCCCAGTTAGAGGACCTTATCACGCTATGCAGAAAGTCCCAGTCAGCATGTTTAAGATGAACATCCCAAAATATGGTTGACCGTTTTATCTAGATTCTTGTTTACAGCATATAATAAATCATAGCAGTACCGAATATATCAATGCAGATCTACAGCATCATATTTTCAATACATTTTTAATGAACTGATCTGATTAAAAAACAGTGTACTAAAACGAACTATTATTCGTTAATATAATGCTTCAGCTATTGTAAAATATTTTAATCATGAGAGAGGTTTTACCAGAGATAATTATCAGCTGGACAACCATTGTACCACAAAGTGAGAAAACTCGAAAGCAGTTCCTAGTTTTCAATAGTTTTCTAGTTTATATCAACAGGTGACAAATGAATTCCCACAACCAACGAATTATACACAGTCTCAATCCTATTTAAAAAGTCAGAAAACCTTTTTTTTTTTAAAAACTACTCTTATGTATAATTTTATACAAATACTTCTGTCCAAGACTGAAAAAATACCAAAGGAGTTGGGCAGGAAAATGGTTTGGTGGATACTACTCGTGACGTAGCTTATAAGCAATATGAAGAGGAGTGTCATTCAGAAGTTATTACTGGAGAGAAGTTTTGGATCAGAATATATGGCGTAATTAGAGTGGTTTGAAGAACAGATGACATGCGACAGAACACAGACAATAATTTGACTGTTTTCAAGTGGAAGATAAGCTGTATACATTTTGTTGGTAAACAGTGTCTTAATGGAATTACATTCTTTTCCCGTAGTTTCGAACAAAATACTTTAAATTTTGTAAGCATTTACTGAAGAGCATTTAATTGAATAACAGCTGGAATGGTGATTATCCTTGAAAGTTCGACACACAAACAATAATGTTACACTACTGACTCTTTCATTCAATTATTGTTGTTAATTTTAAACGTGCGATAGGAAAGACGGTTACATTCCCACTATTTTATATAACCGAACTCATGACAATCGATTTAAATAGTTGACTTAAAACATCTCATTATTGTTCAATTTATTTATTTCTAAATCCCTGTAGTTTCTATTGTTAGACAAATTATCTCTTGATGTAGTTACATATTACTTTACCAAGGTTCAATTCAAACTAATGACTATTTGAAAAGCTCGAACATACTTATACATATGTATACTTAAATTGTATTGATTTGCATTATTTCACAGTGCCTCCAACCATTATTAAATCTCCTGTTCCATACTTAAAAGTTGATGAAGGTTCATCACTTGAACTAAGGTGTTTGGCGACAGGAAATCCACCACCTCAAATAACATGGAAAGTTTATTCTAATTCATTAGTAAAAGATGATAAAATTGATCAGAAATTATTATCAATTTATGATGCTTTTGCTGGATTAGGAGTGCGTAAGTTATCACATTTTTTTTTAATTTTAATTTAGATTTTAATGTCAACTGAATCAACTACAAAACCATTTACAGACATCCAATAAATCTATTCTATTGTATATTTTCTTATTAGATAGTTTAAATGTGCAACGTATAATAGAACTAGTCATTAAAAATTGAACTCCGTTAACTGATCAAGTTAGACATTAACACTGTTAGATAACCGCTCAATGGTCCGATGGTAGGGCGTTCGCCTACAATACCGAAGGTCCTGGGTTCGGGTCCTGCGGGGTGCAGGAGTCGTGGATGCGCACTGCTTAGGAGTCCCATACCAGGACGAAACGGCCGTCCAGTGCTTCCAGGTTTCTGATGGTGGTTTAACATTGATCGATTCATGGTTTAAAAAATGTGTAAATTAAATTAATGTCTAATTCAATCTAACCGAAATCAAAAAAAGGTATTTTCACTACTAAATAAAATTCATTTGAGAAATATTTTTGTTCATTAACCAATGAATGATTCAATGGTTCTACATTTGACATCACTCTTCAATAAACCCTCTTAGTACTTATTTTTTGAAGAAGATTGAAAAGAAAGCATGAATATTCACAGAGTAATTATATGTTTATCTAGTAATCTGATATGTCATATACAAATGTTAAGTAAAGACTTATTTAACTAACTGTTTAAAGATTGGTCTCATTGATATATGATTTATCGTACAATTAACTGACTGAATTATTAGATAGGAAGGAAGCTTTCTATTTTGATAGAGTGAAACAATCAGAACCACAGCAAATTTACTTCAATGTCTAAAATAAATAATTCGACAGTCAGGGACCGTAAAAACACAAGTTCTTGATTAGTATATTTTTCTAGGATGATCTTTCACCATAACTGCTGAGCATGAAATAATAGTTTTTTTTTAAAAAAAAACAATGTTGAAAAGTGTTAACTGCTGTTTCATATTAGTTTTAGGATTTTCGTCAATAGTTTCATCTACAAAAACCCATAAAAAGTAGATGAAGTAATTATGTATTATCAAGTAACTCATATGTAAACATTATTATTTAATAAGAAATTCTTTTCTAATTTTTACTCATATTAATAAGAAACAAGGCTAAAATTTTGCCTATTATAATATAAACTTTATTTGTTTCTCATGTATGTATATATACAGCTATTAATCATCATAATGGTACTTTGATTATTGGTAAATTACACAGAAAAATGAATCAACGTTTTGTGTGTTTAGCAGCTAATGGTGTTCAACCAGATGACCAAAGAGAAGTAATTCTATCAGTACGATGTAAGTGATAACAATTGTAACGAAATCTATTCTAGAATAATCAAACAAAAACACTAATAACACACTAAAATGATGATACTTCAGCTACTAAGTAATACTTTTTTAGACGAAATTATTGTTATTCATTAAAGATAACTCGGTAAAACTCATTGATTCATTTAATTCGAATTTGCATATAAGAGTTTTTAAACATGAGTGAAGTATTCAGGTATATATATATGTATGTAATACTCAAATGAACGACAGTTCAATAGAGGCTGTGTTAAGTCAATAGCATTCTGATGCTATCAATCATATTGTTCTGGTACAATGGTTAACAAAAACAACATGAAAAGTCATTTCTCCGATTAAAATAGTTTGTTTGGTTCTGTCTTGGATTTCTAATCATAGTATATTCCATCCTCTGCTTCATTTTGTATACGTATTCCATTCATTCGACTTGGTGTTATATGAGTTAACATGGTGGTTTAATATTATTTAGCTTATTCGTTTAGTAAGTTATTATCTGATTATTTAACAGTTATCCGTTTCATTACCAACCATTACTACTAACTGAACTTTTGATTAGAACTGAAATTCTTTCACAATCACGTGCAAATTACGAATTTTTCTATTCAATCAAATACAATATTCAGGTAAAATTGTAAAACGTGAAAGTAAAATCCTGATTTTAAACTTTCATACATCTCAATTTCTATGATTATACAGGGACTTAAACCCAGTACTTTTAGTTTGAAGCATACGTTCAGTACCCACTGTTTCAATAATAAGATTCAGGTAAATCAGAATGAAGCGCTGAAAATAGGATAAAAATCGTATCATGGATTTCATTGTTAGCCTTACAGTTAATGTGACTCTAACTACTTCGAGATGGTGCGTTTGAATCGCATATATTCCAAAAGGGAGTAATTACTTACAGTCCTGAATATCAACAACGGCAAATTACAAACACTTGACCACTAAATATTCCATACAACAGAGTTTTAAGATCCATACACGTATTTATCCATAATTACATGTAAGAAAAAGACCAAAAAACTCATACGCAGTAAGTACACTTTTAATTTTCCTACATAAACATCTAATTGAAACATTTTCTTACTTCTCAGTTTCACCGGAGGTCAGAATGACTAATCGTGTTATCAAACAAGGTATTGGTATGAATACAGTGTTGACATGTCAAGTCAGTGCACATCCACCTGGATCCATACGATGGCTTTTTAATCATCATTATCCTATAGCTGCCACAAGTTGTGATGTTATGACAAATGCAGAGAAAAAATATTGCTTACGTAAGATAGCCTAATTAGAAATTTTATTTTCGCGAATTTTTGACGGAGACTCAATCAATTTCAAAGAGGCTATACAAATATTCAGTTTACTAATACTTTTACATTTTTATTTCGAATAATTACCAACTAATTGCTCTACTCAAAAACTTATTTTTTGACTATCTCGGTTCACTATATGTATTAACATGTGCTATTTTCGTCATTCAAATAATATCTTTACAATAGGCTCTGACATTAAATATTCATTACCAAGTATGCAATACCTAAAATCTAGTGCATAATCTCACCTCTAAGATGACAAAATAAATACAAAGGTCATTTTGTAATTCATTTGAATAATCTACAATCATATATTTGTCAATAAGGGGTTGCGTACATTGTTGGATTTCATTGAAATCGTGAAGTAAAGACAACTATTGAAAACCTGAAAGCACTAGACTGCTGTTTCATCCGAGTGGTGTGCATCCATGACCCTGTACTCAGGAACTGGACATCTGACCTGAAAAAGACTGAGTACTAAGTTCAACAGTGTTCATGTCTAGTTTTAATCAATCCACAACACTGTTTAACTATTTTCTTTTGTCTTCAGTCGGTAACTTCATACTCGACATGGTTTCACTTTCACTAGAACTCCGGAAGTCTTGACTGGAAGCCACTCACTAGTGTAACTATGATTGATTGATGATTTAGATAACATTCAACGGTTTACACAAACCCTAATTAACAATTATTATATGCTCAGTAGTGACTAGCTTCAATATTTAAATCTAATTAGGTCTGACAGCATTTCACTGCACTTAACAACCAATATTTAGTACTCAAATGTAGTTTGACCTATGCACAAAACCTGCGTCCAGTTTTTAACATAGAGCTCAGCGTTATAACAACGATAAAGTGATAATATTTTCATCAGAAACCGCAACTATAATCAACTGACATTTTACTGTGTATCAGACCATAAAATACATTACAAATTAAAAGTGAAACAATCTAATTTATTCACTTGTTTATGATACAACTTCGAATATAGGAGCAGATATGGACTAATATTCTTGTTAATAAAGAAAAAAAATAATAAAACATTACATTGAAGTTTGTAAATCGAAGTATATAGTAGAAAGATTCAAATATTTGACGTCGTCATTCCAGTTCGAAATACAAATCAACTTTCTTGATTATTGACATAACAATACTGAACAGACTTTAAGGAAGCACAGTGAAAACATGATTATTCGGTTAGATAGTGACTAATCTGGAAACAGGTGGGTTTTCTGAACATAATTCATCCATCATGACATTTATTTTGAAAGACAGTAAGATTTGAACGATCTGTGGAACCATAAATATCAGAGTTTAGTGACTTATGTTAGACGATCAATGAAAACCAAGTATAGGATAACTTAGTAGTTAGGATACACGACTCCATAGGGCTTCAAAACCAGATTTTTCATGCCTCATAGTGATTGCTCAGCCTTCGAATTCATCAGATGATATCTAAGGAATTACATTATAAATTGGCTGAGGATAGAACATAACCTAGTGCCTGCTGTGAGGCCTGAAATTCCTGGCTTTGATCATGGGTCATCTATACTTAATACTGAGTGTAGCATGGAACAACTATTCAGTGCTTCTTCATTTGCAAAGGTTGTCTAACTAAAGTTTGTTAGTGATATTTAACTACATATTATATTAAGATTTGTTAACACCTTAATTTCATTACATTTACACCTTCTCCTTTTATAAATCTAGAGGAACATAGACCGCAATCATACAATAGTTTATCTGCAACAACATCAAAACTAGCTATTTTCAATTTAAAACTAGAAGATTTTGGTGATTACGTTTGTTCAGTTAATACGATTATGGGTGAATCATTCGGAGTGACAACTTTACAAAGTATGTTATTCATATTATTCTCTACAAATGTATTGAAACTTTTTGAGTTGTTGTGTTTATGAAAAACTCCTATCTGATAGAAAAACTATTTATGTTGCAAATGCTAGCAAGGAAACTATAATCTGTATTTGCAAACTCAGCTTAGAAACAATGTAACCTAAATCAGTGAAGGTAATCGGTGGAAAATTTATAACCAAATCTTTACGCAAGATGAAACAAAGCGATAACATATATCCACATTCCTGAAAGAATGTGTTCTTCTTCAAAAATTTATATACTCACCAATCAATGAGAAATACAAGTGATAGAGTTTGACCAACACTAGTAGCTAAACAACTTGAGATTATCGTTTACTGACCGTACTGTGTAATCATAAATAACGGCTGTAGAGACTTGAATAGAGCAGTGCTAACATAGATGATTGAGATATCGGATGGAGTTCAAACCTATGGATGCAATTACCGCACTGAATATTCTTTCAGTGTTTAGTAAATGAACAACTTAAAATCTAAAAATTCACCCAACCTTCTCTCAGTAAACTGTTGAGATGTAATTTTTATTTTAAAGGGGACAGTTATTCTGCTTTCCCTTCTCAGATGACTGAACCCTCATTCTATCACATCCCTTTTTGAAATAGCTTTAATTCTATTCTGTCATCACAAAAGCTTTCGATTTACAATCTTATTTTTAGATGAGCGAACTTAACTAATTTGATTGTTAGTTATCGCTAATTTTATTTAATCGATCGGTTACAACCTCATGGACTTAATTTGCCACTCTAATCTGAACCTTCATCTTCTGAAATTGAACCCTCCGAGCTCGGATTGCTTAATCGTGAAAGTTCCATTGCTTTTCAATAGAACATCAAAGTGGGCTTAAGATCGAAGAGAGAGATGGGAATTTCTAGACAAGTGACTAGGAGATTGTTCTGTCAGACTTATTATTATTACTGCAAAACTTCCAGAATTTCACATGAACTTTAGGCAATGTACAACCACAAAGTGATTTTGAAAAAAAGCCGTCTTTAATGTATACATGCAAACCTTTGTTAATTATTCGAAAAATCAATCCTTATATCCATGTTTTATATTTGCAGGGTTCAAAACTGGGCATTTTGCGACCGATTCAGCAAAAACAAGTGAGTTTTTACATCTTGTCAGCTTATAACCTAAACAAGAGCCCCTAAGTTATAATGCACGGTCCGAGACATAATTACACTAAAAATCCCTAAGACTTGAATTGTATTAATCCACCAACTCAGTTCACGTATGCTTTAGCTCAAAGATGAAACATGCACTCATTTGACGCTTGATACATCACAGAGACTACACGATGAACTAATCAAAATATCATTCAACTGACAAACCTACAGTGTGGTCAATTTTAGAAATCCTTGATGACCCGTAGAAGTATGAAGTCTAAGCATAATACTCTCATTCAGATTACAAAAGTAACCGCTTTCTTTGAGTTTACATACTATTATTTTCATGAGATAATTGTTTTTTATAGATAAGATTATACATCCAGACTCCTGTCACATACCCATAATCACCGCCTATAAGAACGTGTTAGCTGATATAGTAGGTTGGAAAATATTAGAAATGGAGAAATCAAGGCATAGTACCAGTCAATAAAACATTGATGGTTGGTTTGATTCATGTTGGGACAGACTTCCTGGTTAGGGTTGACTCAATACAAATAATCAACGGTTCGAGACGACATAAAATGTGGCACAAAAGCAGTCACAGCAGTACATTTCCACTGTCCCCCTCTAAATCGATTTTTCCATTGAATTTGTTCCTTTCAAACAGCACAGATTTTCATTGCTTTCGATACTACTTCCCAAACTACAGTTCTCATGGATGTCGAAGATTAAAAGAGCTTTAATTCAGTAGTAGTAGTAATAATCATATTCTCTCATTTAGCAAATGCAGATGTGTAGTTAGATCCAAGCCCCACTGTTTGTACAAGGACTAGTGATACTTAACGGCCGCTGAAACCAAAATAGATGGACCCGGTTGGGAACTACGATCTTATGGCTGAAAGTTGGACGCTCTATAATTAAGGCGAGGGAACCATAATTATCAGTACTCTGTTATGACGTAGACCTTAAGCCTTATCCTAAAAAAAACCTAACAAAAATCGAAGTCATCAGACTAAAACTATTCAAACATAAGGTCACGATAATTGATCTGTATTAAAATTTTTAGAAAACAAATAAACTGATTTTCTCCTATATCCCGCCAAATTTATCATATTATATATATAGTGCATCAAAAGCAGATCGAAAGATTATCAGATAAACAGGTTCCTCAGGACAAGATAACGAACTCTCATGAATACCTAAAACAGATTGGACTGTCAAAAAATAAAGTTTATCAAAGACCGACAGGTAAGTTTATGAATATACTTCCACTTATAAACTTCATATAATATTTTTATAAACAACCGTGTTTTATATGATGGATGACAATAAATTTTCATTTCAAGCAATGCTATGCGCAGCGACAATAGAATCTGCATCGTTAAATCATCTAGCTTAAGTAACTTAAAATCATCAGAAACGCCCGCAGTGTACACATCTTCTGTATCATTTCAAAATGTTTTTTATCAATTAAATTTAAACTGATGTTCGTAATACAGAATATCATAGTTTCAGGAAAATTCTTAGTTCAAGACTGACTTGACATTATTCTATCTAACCAATCAAATTTAAGCGATATGATACATACATTCGCCCATTTCAAGCTGACAATGTTTAACTTCAGCAGCCAAATACCAGTTTAGAATCTCATACAATGAATTTACAAAGCCTTTAGTTTCTAGTTTGATTGATATAAACACTATGTGATCAACTTTATTTTACTTAATTCGGTCTACATTGAACCAGAATCTAGCCAATCATATGCAACATGTAACTCGACACGCGCGTCGACTCCACCTGTCAAACCACATTACCATAGCTAGACAATATTATCAAGATAAATCCCACAGCAGTAGAGGCAGGAACAGTATCATTAATAGTTGAAAAGCTTGTCCTCAATACTGATTGAGTTGCATCGATCGATCCGACTTGACACATTGTGTAGAATATTGTTGTTAGTTGTTGAACCTACTGTTGAATCGTAAGAATTATTAGCCGTAGCAAGATTTCATCGGTACAACTCCATTAATGTACGATTAAACAGATATGACATTAGCTACTACTTAATGACTAATCACTGTACGGTAAGAGGTCATTCACAGTCAAATATTTCACCAGAGTTATTCTGAAGTGTAAGAATAACCAGTGGGGGTTCGAACCCCATTAACGGCACCAATCCTATTGAGATTTAAGTTTGACTGGTGAACCCCAACCACTATGAAGCCTAGGTCTACAGTTTGCTGTCGATGGACTGAAACAATCTAAAATTAAAACGTTCTAGTATGACTAGGTATTAGCGCGTTTACTCCACATGCACTGAGAAATAAGTCATATTTTACGACAAGCACTTTTCATATCGTTAATGTAACGACAGATTTTTTGTGAAATATGATTTTGTCTAGCTATAATCTCTGGATAAACCTTACATCCCTATTTGCCATGAGAAATAGTTGTGATAACTTTGTGCAATCGAATAATACTGTACTCCAATCGTGGTGACTTGTTATACTTTTTAACTTTAACAGAAATTTCTTACTAAAGTAACTGGAAATGCTGTGTTTTCTACTGAACTTTTTCCTTAGATCTTCAAGATACTCCGAAAAATGCTACAATCTATGCTGCGCTGAATATAAAATTGCTACTACTATTCAACACATTGACTCTTATTCTACACTTCGTATATTCCTAAAAAGATATCTATGGAATGAATAGATATCATCTAATAAATCGGTGTATTTTGGTTTTTACATGTTTGTAAATATTGACAAGAAACCGTTTGTCACTGAACATAATAAAGTATTTTTGGATTTTTTTTAAACCAATTCCTGAAGTAAAATCATTTTTCCAAAAAAGAACATTATTTTGATTGCAAGGGAGCTAAACATGACGACTCTAAGAGTATAAAAGGATGTGAAAACACAAACAATAGAAATTTAAGCGTACATGATTTCATCTCCCATTCTTTTGATAAGAACTCCCTTATTTAACATGCCAGATAAACAATGCGACATGAATAAAGCTCTACTAAAAACTAAAACTAACGTACTATTATATCATTGTAATATCTTTAATAAGATGATATCGATTCTTTAGTCAACATATGAACTGCAACTGTTTTGCACTGATCTACCAATTACAACGACTGGGATTAATCCAGTCGGTTCTCATTTGGATGAAAGAGTAGCACAATACTGAGGCTTATATTACAAGTATCCGTATAGGTGAAATGGTGCATTAATCTGTATTAGATTGATTCGAATATATCAAATAAACTAATTGATTATCTGATCTACAGAAGACGAAAACAAGTGATATTCCATATTCAAATACATGAAATCAAACCCAATAAACCAATAAAACGCGTTTACGACGTTGTTCCGTCTTTTCCAGAAAACTGGTACTAGGAAACAATCGCCAAAAAGGATGGTGGTATCATTTATTCTCATTAGATAAGATTCGATCAATAGGAAGAATACGTAAGACAGCAGTTCAAATAGCTTTCAGCCACACTTCCGTTGCCCACGATCTCAAGTCGACCTGAATGGCGAATCGACATAAGTCGTCCGACTCTTTATGAAGTTGCGAAGGCGATAGGAAGTCTGAAGCAAGGGAGAGCATCATAGCCTGATAGACTTACCCCTGAAAATTTTAAGGATTGTGGGCCAGTTTTAGCAGTAATATTGACTGAGAACTTAGGTAGAATTCGAGAACTTGGTGGAATCAGGTAGTAAAACTGAGACTAGCTTCAGGGGAACTGCTGTCATACTCTGATCATCAAGATTAAATTGCTTAACACACACAAGGACTAGCACTAATGCTGTCCAAACAAGCACAAAAGGTACTAATAGGATTGAAATGTCATGCACTCAGCGTCATTAAAGCATCATTCAAAACAAACAAAGAGGACATTACAATGAACGTCATCTAATGCTATCCACCTAACAACAACTACAATGACGAAATCAAACATCAATTCTACGAAAGACTGCAGTCAATCGTCGACAGATGCTCACCAAACGACTTGACTATTCTGTAGGGAGACTAAATACCAAGTTTGGCACGGAAAACACTTGATATGCAGACATCATGGGACGACGTAGACTCGGAGAAAGGAACGAAAACGGTGAGAGATTCGCAAACCTATGCAATTCTCAACAAACTGGTCATCAGCGGTACAATGTTCCCACACAAAGACATAAACAAATCTACATGAATCTCACCAGATCACACTGCTCAGAACCAAATCGACCATATCTGAATTAACAAAAAGTTCAGAAGGACCATGGAGGACGTGAGAACCAACAGATAAGCTGATATAACCTCAATTCACCGATTGCTAGCCGGAAAAATGGAACTGAAACTCAGGAAACACTGGGCAAAGAGGAGGACAACATCACAAAATTTTAATATCGCATTTCTTTGGAATTCTGGAAAGTTCAACGAATTTAAAATGGCCCCCAGCAACAGGTTCCAGGCTTACCACGATCTACTCAATGGAGAGGAAACAACCTTGGAGAACAATTGGAAGGGGATCAAGGAGACAATCACTTTAACAAGTCACGAGGTTCTGTGCCACAACAAGTACCACCACTAAGGATTCAATCTCTGTTGGTACTCTTGATAAAATTCATGGAGGAACAAAAAGGCAGCAATCAAAATCAGCCGAACAAGAGCGGAAAGAGCCAAGGCACAAGCTGAATACACAGAAACAAACATGAAAGTCAAAAAGAGCACCAGAGACGATAAACGAAAATATATGGGAGATCTAGCAATGAAGGTGCAAAAGGCTGCAAGAGAAGGAAACTTGAAACAATCGTACAATACAACAAAAAAGCTCTCTGGAAGCTATCGTAAACCAGAACGACCAGTGAAAAGCAAGGAAGGCAAAGTAATCAACAACAGTGAAGAACAGCGAAATGGGTGGGTAGAGTACCTTAAAGAACTCTTGAATCGACCAGCCCCACCGAACCCACAAAACATCGAAGCAGAATCCGCGGACCTCTCAATCGATGATGGCCCACCAAAAATTTAAGCGATCAGTATAGCCATCAGACAAACCAAGCGAGGCAAAGCAGAAGGATCAGACATCATTCCAGATGAGGCTACGAAAACAGACATGGCAGCAACTGCAAAATTATTTCACATTCTCCTCAACAAAATTTGGGATGAAGAACAAGTACCAACAGAGTGAACAGGAGAATAACTCATCAAAACACCAAAGAAAGGCGATCTCAACAAGTGTGAGAACTACACAGGCATCACTCTTCTCTCAATAACACACAAAGTATTCAACAGGGTATTGTGAAAATCAGGATGAAGGACTTCGTGGACGTCCAACTTCGAGATCAATAGGCCGTATTTTGTAAGGATCGATCGTGTACTGACCAAAATGCAACATTACGGATCATTGTGGAACAATCATTTGAATAGAACACACCACTCTATATCAACTTCATTGACTGCGAAAAAGCATTTGATAGCTAGGACACGACACCACTATGGAGGCTTCTTCGACACTACGACGTGCCTGAGAACATAGTTAACATCATACAAAATTCTTATGATGGATTAAACTGCAAGGTCGTACACGGAGGACAGCTGACAAACTCATTTGAGGTGAAACCGGTGTCATGCAACATTGCTAATTCTCACCCTTTCTCCTTCTCCTGGTGATCAACTGGATTATGAAGATGTCAACATCTAGAGGGAAGCACTGTGAACAGTGGACAGCCAAGATGCAGATGGACGATCTGAACTTCGCAGATCACCTGGCTCTTCTGTCGCACACACAACAACAAATGCAAGAGAAGACGAACAGTGTAGCAGCAACCTCAGCAGCAGCAGCAGCTTCAACATACATAAAGGGATAAACAAGATTCTGCGATACAACACTACATGCGCCAACCAAATCAGTCTTGATGGACACACCTTGGATGACGTTAACACCTTTACATATCCATCCAGGCAGCATCATCGACAATCAAGGTGGATCCGATGCAGAAGTGAGGGTGCGGGTCGGTAAAGCAAAGGCTGCATTCCTTCAATTGAACAACATCTGAAACTCAAAACAACTGTCAACAAACTCCAAAGTCACAACTTTCATTACAAATGTTAAGACAGTTTACTGAATGGGGTGAAAACTTAGAAGACTAACAAAGCCATCATCCAGAAGATATAAGTATTCATTAAAAGATGTCTGCGCAAGGTACTTCGAATCGTTGGTCAGACAGCAACAGGAAATATTGTGGGAGAGAACAAACGAGATTCCAGAGGAGGAGGAAGTCAGGAAGAAGCCGTTGCTGGTTTTCGATCATAGGTGTTTACGAAGAATTGGTCGCATATCTTTGGACAACCAAATAAGTGATGCTGTCGTTAAGAAACGTGTCCTAGGTAAGGATGCCAGATGAATAGATGATGTTTTGAAACTTCACCAGTTGAGGTGGTTGGGACAAGTGTTCAGAATTCCCAAACACCGACCGCCTCGATGAGCGGTATTCTGTGGTGTAGGTGTAGGTTGGAAGTAAGCTAGGGGCGGCCAAACCAAAACATGACGCAAACCCATGAAATCCCTGACAAGTGGATTGAGTCATGTTGGTAGGTTTCGACTAACTGGTTGGGGTCCGCGAGAAGTCACCCATGGTTAGAGACCTCGAACGACAATTCTTAAAATCGTTTGCGCTGGCGCAGGTGCATTTACTCATTGTGTTCTCTTGAATCCCAAACTTCTTACTTCGTCATCATCTCTATGATTCGTTTTCTAAATTTATGTTACTGAATTATACTTCGCGAATCATATCTTCGAACCCTAATCTACCTCATTACTGCTAATACTATTACTATTGCCAGCACTGTGATTTGATCTGACAGTAGCGTCTCTGTGCTGATGCGGTATGGCAAGCTTTACTTATGTACTCATGTACGAAGTTCTACGTTGTTAAAAATAAATTGAAAAAATACTATTATTGTTGGACGTCTGGATGTGTGTCTATGTTCTGTGACCTGACGTAGTGTGAATATGTGGTCTATACAGCCACGTCCATGTCAGAAACCAGCCTGGTTTTCTAGAGTCTGCTCTTCACGAGCTCTAGTTAGGCATCCAATTATTATTGAGGCTAACAATTTAGACACTATATTAGTTAAACTGATTTCTCTGCGATTGTCACAAGAGGACTTTTGTCCTTTCTTATAAATTAGGACAATCAGCGACTGAGACCAGTTGGATGGTATTACGCCCAGTTCCCGAATTCTACCTAAGATATCAGTCAATATTACTGCTAAAACTGGCCCACAATCCTTAAAATTTTCAGGGGTAAGTCTATCAGGCTATGATGCTCTCCTTTGCTTCAGATTTCCTATCGCCTTCTCAACTTCATAAAGAGTCGGACGACTTACGTCGGTCCGCCATTCAGGTTGACTGGAGATCGTGGGCAACGGAAGTGTGGCTGAAAGCCAGTTGAACTGATACTGATACTGAACTGATAATATCTTCAAACCCTAGTCTTTTTCACTACCATTAATACCTCTACTATCTCTATCACTATGGGATTTGATTTGACATTTGCGTCTCTGTGTTAATGTGGTGTGGCAACCTGAAATTATGTAGATACGTACTAAGTTCTACGTTGCAGCTGACTGACTTACATTTGGCTCCTAAAGCCGGTTTTCTTGGTGAGTCTAAATAGTTGCCTATCGCCGCAGCCTTTCCAAAATCAAATGGTATAGAATTCTAAGTTGAGGCTTCTTTATTATCGCCTAAATTCCTAACGAGTTAGAGTGAGTCTCT